CCTGTGAATCGAAAAAGCAGGGGATGAAATTCCAGGGTTTAACTCTCCACTATTAGGAGTGGTATCCTTTTGGACTTCGAAACGTTTTATGTACTTGACAAATACAATTTCCTTTTTTAAACCTTTTTTGTAGATTAGATGCCAAGAATCCATACTCTATCCTAGTCTTCCCAAAGTTCTAGACCATTTTTTACTGATAAAATTGCCGGCAGTTTTCATGAATATCCCCCATTACCTACTGGTTAGCTCAAAACCCCAGGTAGAAGACCAGCTAGGTCCTATAGAAATCTTATAAGCCTTAAAAGGCTTATTATGTTTTAGACTTCTTTCAGTTCAGATGATTGCGTCAGTGAGTGGTGACACACGTTGCGTGGGGTTTTGTCAAGGGCTGGGTTACATAAACAACCCAAGGTTAAGTGCGAATTTTCTGTAACCATTCTATTAATCCGGAGGATTTTTTCACGAATAGCAGGGTTGTCAGTAAGAGCCGGGGGCCGGGGATTTTCCCTGGCTACTAAGAGAGTGGCCCCCGGCTACTTTTATTGGAAAATAGAAGAAAATAGAACCAAAAGAAATCCCTAGTCGTTTGATTCCCCGCCTACTTGTTGTATTTACCCAGCAACTTGAAGTCTTAGTGACAACCCTGGAATAGTCCGGACGAGGGCAGTTTAACGAGTACACACCAAGGCCCGAAAAATTCGTTTAGAGCAAAGGAACAGTTGCAGAAAATTCGCACTCAATCTTGAATTGCTTCATTCAACTGGGCCTTAGTGTACCGGTAGACACGACTAAACAACAGACTATACAGACACCCTCATAACTATTGTACGGAGTTTTACGAATAGTCTTTCACGCACTAGTCTTTATTCGTAAAACTCCGTACAATAGTTATGAGGATTATTTCCAAGTCCTTCGAGGTTTCAGCAAGAAAAGTTACCCAGATATACAGACACCATACCATATAAACAAAGAGACCAATGAAAATGAAAAATTGTCCTTGTTTTCCGGACACCCAACCTCTTTGTGGGACTTTCCCCACACAATCCTAAGGGGAAACGTTCGCTGGTACGACCCATGGTAGGTAGGATTTCATTGCATTGCCCTGGGAGATGTGGTACGAAAATACACAATCCAGGAACCCAGGCCCAGAGAAAATAAAAGATTAACCCTATTTGAGACCTAAACGGTTAAAGTCAGCACCCAAGTTTTAAACCCATGGGGTTCAGCGTTTCCAAGAGAGTGCTACTCCCATTTCTGACCTTTTTTGCGGCATTTTCGACTAAAACAGAAAAGGAGAAGGGCTTGTTGGGCAAGTTACGGAACCTGCAGCTAATCTATTATAAAAATTAATCTTGACCGTCAAGATTAATTTCCACACTCGCACAGAGCGATGCATTGCATTGATTTACTGCGAGGCAGCCAAATGTGGTTTTAGCGGATCGCATAAAGCCAGTTCGAACTAGTCTTATTTTGTGCGGACAGTCCCAAATGGCTTAATCATCGTTTATTAAATAGACACGAGTGTTTTACTGGAAAATATACCACTCGTAAAATTCATAAAAACTACATCCGGGACCCGAGTGGTTTATTTTCCATTATCTCCCACGTGAGTTTATCGATGACGTAATTTTGGTAATTTCCCTCTATTATTTTATCGATGTAGTTTTGCCTATATAATAAAAAGAACATTACACGGCGGCTTGAAGATATGAATTTTATTTTCTCGTGGCAAAAACATTATTTTACTCACTCGCTGCGCTCCTTCGTAAAATATTGTTTTGCCACTCGAAAATAAAATTCATATCTTCGCGCCACCATGTAATATCCTCTATTTAAATGGCTGTTCGTGCGATCTGTTTTTACTACAAGTTTAAAATGTTTCCGGATAGGAAAAGGTCACGTGGGTGGACCACACAGGGGGTTTTATCTCCACACTAAGAGACTCGCGCGAGTCAAGATATTCTCTAGCAAGGTAGCATCCGGAAAAACGGGGTGAAGGCTGCGAAGAAACTAAGTACGAGGCGTCATGGGAAGGCGAAGCTTCCTTTCTCCATCCCACCATCCTTTGCCGCATGTTTAAATAGTTAGAGAGACGTCTGTGCACAAGGCAGATGTCGCTTACTCGCTAGGGACCTCAAGCAACGGAGACTGTATAGGCAGTAAAATCGTCACTGTTCTTCTTAACTTTATCGCGTTTTCTCCATGGCGCTAAACCTGTCAAATGTAGGCGAATGAATTATGAAGGACGGTAAGTTCTGAAGGTGTTACTTTTCGCCCTCCATAAAACGCCACATTGTCAAATTCACCTCGTACTCATGCAGTGACGGTACCAAAAAGTGTGAAGTACGTTCAGAGTTGTAGTTTTGGTTGTTAAACTGGCTAATCGCTGCTTTCGTAGCCATTAGCTGGCCTGAAGATAGAACTCCAGTCTACCGCCGCCATCGCTACGATCGTTGAAGAGCTGATTCCGTCAAAGGCTTTCTGGCCCGGTGGTGGGGACTCCGGATGTGAAAGGGGTGGGGATGCTCGTCGGAAATTTTGAATTAAAGCCCTAAAGGAGACCGATCTGGGCGTGGCCCAAGCTTTTTTTGACCCCTAAAAAAGACCATGTTAAAACACAGACAAATGAGAAAACTTGGATTATATGAATGAAGTAAATAAAACGCATTAAAAATAAACATATCAAATACATATTTTCCTTTTTTTTTCGCGTCCAACCCTAAACGAGACCTTCACGGCTAAATATGATGGCGTTTTGCCCAGAACACCCCAAGTGAGACCAAAATCCGAAATTTACACCCCTAAGCGAGACGACGAGCCACCACTTTCATATGCGGAGTCTCCCCCGGGCTTTCCGGGTAATCTTTGCCCTCTATAACTTTTTTTCAGTGATCCTAGCGCCTGTAGATCGTGGATTGATAGTCCTCCTTGCAAAGCATGCCTTTGTGAAAAATTAACATATTTCGCGTCTGAAACCTGACTTAAGGTGAGTTGAATTGACCGAATTCTGGAAAGAAATGAATATTAAAATGAAATTTACTCTACAATTCACTTATTTGACATTGTGCATCAACATCTAGAAACCTGGTTGAAATAAAATGTAAGACGTACGTAGCAGTCCAGTGGTACAACAATCGCGGAAGAGATTTGTAACTTATTCCGGAATACGATCAATCAAACCCAACCATGGACTGGCAAGGTACAACTGAATATTTGCAAGTTTTATTGTTTATGGGAGTGTGATTTAGCTGTGCCAATTTCTCAACAATCAATGCGTAATTGATGCATGAATGACAATACGCTATACCGTCAATGCATCTTCGTAAAAGGTCTCAGTCATATTATTTGTTAAATTATTTACGATAAACCCTACTGGTATGTTGTTTGTTTCTTTTTTTGTGCCGTTTTAATTAATCATTTGCGAAGCAATGTTGGCTGCTTGAGAAAGTTCTGCTGCAGTGCCATATAAATGGAAATAAATTGTTATTTTAGCGTTTTATTTTTTTTAATAACGTGGCAGACCCTAACAAATCCATTATCCCAGAGGTCGTTATATCTCGCCGAGTCTTAGAACGTAAAAAATCCCAGATGTTAAAATGATCCGCTTCGTGGGATGAAATTCAGCCAAAATATCACAAAAATACATGATATAAATGAAAAGCGTATCTATTTTGCATATTTGTAACATCCTTCGCCGCCAAAAGGTAACTTCCCACTTTACGAACTAATTCATTATCATTTCCACGACCTTTTGTTTGCCATATTTCCTAGTAAAACCACAGCTTTAGATATACCAGGAGTCATGGGATTGCCAAAGATGAATTTTTCAGTGCTTAGATTGTGATTACTGTGGTACGTGTGCTGATCCACAAAGCCACCGTAAAATATTTTAATGAACGAGTATGCTCAATTTTCATGAGAAAAAGATTACCCCTACTGGCTGAAAATGCTTTGTTTTGACCAAATAGTTTTTATTCTTGCTGAATAAGTGATCTTTTAGATCTATTTCGCAACAGGCTTTTTCGTTAATATGCCTTTCTTATTCCTGCTTTGTGGAATTGGTGACGAGTTTTGGTGTATCACGCGAAACTTTTTAATAATGGCGGAAGCTATCTGCGATTTTTATACCAATGATTTTTCGTGTTATGACACTGGCTTCGATCCAGAATCTATTATGAATATTTTTCTGAAATCAAATTTTCTTTTTATCGGTGGCTCGTATATTTAAGCCAACGTTGCCTTGGATTTTTTCTCTCTAATTTTTCCAAACAGAAGAAAACGCGAATTTCAAAAATGTCGTTTGGATTTCTGAGATCTGGCTTTCTCAAACGATTGTTACCATTAGTTTCTATAAAACGTACCGCGAAATTCTTCTGTTTATATTTTAATGATCGTCTGATTTGCATCCATACTTTTACCGCCTTAAGTATCTTCACAACATAATTTTTTCCAACTCCATAAAATTATATTTTAAGTCTTTGTTTTCGAACGAAACGAAGCGGATAGGACGCGAAACAATGATCACGTGACTCGCCGCCACCTGCCAGCCGATCGCGGCTGAATTTCATGAATTGAAAATGTTGAAATTTGAGTGAGACGGGTCTGAAAAATTTGCCATTCAGATCGAATGATTTTGGCCGGCCTAATGCTGCTCCGAAATGGAAAAAAGCGGTGAGTCGAGGGTTAGTCAATATGTTAATTTACAACGTCTTTCCCCGCCGTAATGTGATCAATGACTGACTGGCTGAAAGATTTTTTCAAGGGGAACACGAGACTGGTACAAATGATGAAGACTGTCAAACAGCAATAATTCTCTCATAGAGAACTACGTTGGCATTTGACACCGATTCGAAATCATACCCACTATTTACGATATCGTCTCAACATTCGAAAGCGACAGTCGAAGAATCGTCGACTTAAACTGAGGCTTTTAGTTCTCAACCGGATCATGGTTACTACAGCAAATCTGGATGAGTGAGTGAATAAGGAAATTCTCCGCGATGGGAGTTCACGGTTATTAAATATTTTGTTTGTTATCCTCTTACTTTTTGTATTAAACTATCTACCTATGGCTGGTGAGTAAACTTGCATGATCTAACAAAAATAATATCCCTTTCGTTGCCAGATTTGCAGCGCTTTCGCAATGAATGCGTAGCTGCCCATAATTTTTACCGCGCGGCTCACGGAACACCGCCTTTATGCTGGTCTACAAGACTCGCTGAGAGCGCGCAAGCATGGGCCGAGCAGCTCGCCAGTACCACCGGATCGTTGCGATACAGTTCCGCCAAGGATGTTGGAGAGAATCTCACTCTACTATGGGGCTCGGAGCTTAACGGCCAGAAAATAACACGGATTTGGTATGAAGAAGGAAAGCACTTTGATTATAAAAAACCGCGCGTGAATTCACGAACGCGCTCATTTTGTCAGGTGGTATGGGAGGGAACGCGCGAGTTAGGCGCGGGTGCGGCTATCACCAAACATGGAAAACAGATCGTCGTAGCAAGGTACTTTCCACCAATGAACAAGAAAAATGTCGCGAGGAACGTAAAAAAAGCGAAGAGCACACGAGAGAACGAGCAGCCGCTGACGTTTGACACGCGCTGGAGCAGCCTTTATGTCGGTAAGAACATTACTATTCTCTACAATATCGACCGCCGCGTTTTCACTTAATTTGCATTTTTTGTTCACGGGTTTGTCTGTATGAAATAAATATAAATATTTGAAAGACACGTTTTTGTTTGCTTAGGAGTTGAAAAATCAAGAGTACTTCATCTACAATTGTCTTTAAATTCATTATTTTTATTAAGATCTTTAAGTCCATTCGATGTAGAAATTTGATGTGTAATACGTGTGCATTTTATTGATATGCTCGACGGTGAATTATTGTCAACAGAATTCATAAGAAATGCAGTTTTTCTCTATGAACTGAAAGGTCACGCGTAAATATTAAATCGCTTTTCACATGCAACGTCTAAGCGAAATTCTAGGCCGTGAACTTAATCAAAACTGCTAAATCAATGGGAGGATCATATTTTTATTTAAATCAACGCAAAACTAATGTAGGCTACCAAACATTGTGTTAATTTTGACAGTTATAAACGCGATTTGGTCGATTCCCTTTAAAATTGGTTTATTATGACGAACAATTTATCAACTTTCTTGGCCACAGTATGCATCAGTAAATATTCCGCATGCGATAAATAGAAGACTAGAAGACCTTTTTTAAAAAAGCGGCCTTTCTCGAGCGAAAGACGTTTCATTTTCATTACCTTTATTTTCGGGAGATGTTAGACAAGTTACTTTGATTTTCAAACTCTGAATAAATCCATTATAATATTCATGCAATGTTTGACTCGGATTTTTTTAAAAAATTTTTCCGTGTTGTTCCTTCAAGTCGTTCGTTTTTTACAGGTTAATGGGTACTAGGGAGTCAAGGAAGCTTTCTTTTTTATTTCCCTTTGTTTTCAATGATTGTTGTTTTTAACAGTTTCACGAAATAGTGGAATTTACATTTTTTTTAGCTTGTGTTTCAAGAATCCGAAGAATCAGATGAGTTCATTTTTTGTTATCGACAAAGAAAGACTTGTAGTCAAGTATTGTGTTCACGGCTCGGGTTCTCTATTATGGTTCACTGATTGTGGACCACGGTAAACCTGTTATCTGGTTTTGGTCAAACACCTGTTGAGCATCTTGACAAAGATATTTTTCTTCTTTGTTTCTGTCTTTTTTATCTTCTTCTTTTTATTTCCGGTTCGAATAGAACTATTAAGTAAAGGTGGATCGAAACGATAGGACACAACAGAATTGTTGTTCTTTGCGGATTATCTTACAATAAAATCTGAGATAATTGTTATTTCGGTACANAGTTCATTTTTTGTTATCGACAAAGAAAGACTTGTAGTCAAGTATTGTGTTCACGGCTCGGGTTCTCTATTATGGTTCACTGATTGTGGACCACGGTAAACCTGTTATCTGGTTTTGGTCAAACACCTGTTGAGCATCTTGACAAAGATATTTTTCTTCTTTGTTTCTTTCTTTTTTCTCTTCTTCTTTTTATTTCCGGTTCGAATAGAACTATTAAGTAAAGGTGGATCGAAAGGATAGGACACAACAGAATTGTTGTTCTTTGCGGATTATCTTACAATAAAATCTGAGATAATTGTTATTTCGGTACAATTTTACCCATGTAAATTAAACCCAAGCCAAGTTATTTAATGCATTTTGCATGCAAATGCATATTAAACGCCGACGCCACTATTTGTTAACTGATATTGTTTTTTGTCGTTGTTGTCGTCGTCGTTTTTTTCATTCACCAGTAAAACTTTTTTGGCTTCATTAAAAGAAATCGCTGTTAACTTAGTGTGTTAACTTAAGTCTGATTGATTTCGTGAAAGTAGACCGGCTTTGTCTAATTGAATGCCTGAATTTATGATGCTTTGACTTTAACTTTAACTTTAATCAAGTTCCAAATTACAATATCAGTAAAATACTAAATACTAATAATCTAGGGTAAGCTTAAAACAGAATATAAGATTCCTTAGAAAATAAGCCATCCGATGTCTTTTGACAAAAAAACCCTCTGAATTTAAGCAAGACGTTTTGGTTCCACTACTTCAGATCAAAACGTAACGGTTTTCCTCTAAGTTACGAGAAATTAAGTTGAGTCAAATCTGAACGATTCACTCGAGTGTACCCTCCCGGGACGCAACGCCAACAAAGGGTTTAGCCATTATTAATTCATTAGATTTTAACAATTCCTGTTTGTAGGTCAGTCTTAATTTTTATGCGCGTGTTGCAGTATAAATAAGGATAAGCACTGGTTCATTTCCGTCTTTTTTGTCGGGTGTATGGCATAGTAACAGCATAAGGTACCTTAATTATAAAAGTCAAAGTACCAAGCGATGCATGGCTTAATAAGTATTACTGGAATTTGAGTTAAAATCATGCGTAAATTTCATCTGAAGTACTAAATTATTAAATTCCTTGTTCTTTTGTTGTGGACTATGAAGCAAAGTCTAGTTGTGTTAAGGCTCTTTCTTCCGAATCGACTTGCCTTTTGCAGAGGCGGATTCAGATTTTCAAGTATGTGAGGGGCCCGCTCATCCATTCTTTAAAATACGATGGAGGCCCGGCCTCGAAAATAGTCTTTTCGGCCTTGAGGGGCTCAGTTTAGCCGTGGGGTCTAGGGGCCCCTACGGGCCCCTACGGGCTTCTCCCCCAGATCCACTCCGCTTTTGTCAATCATTTCTGGAATTAATAGCAGGTACGTTGTGGTTAGTTGTTGGTTTGGTTTTATTATTTTTTTCCTTTGTGGGAACAAAAGGACACTGAAAACCATCTCGACAAGCAAACGACAGCATTAACATAAACTCTGCGCTAGTAACATATTTTTTCTTTGCTCAGTGTCCGTGTGAAGCATATCTCGATATTTTTATTTTGCAGGACTTCAAGTATTGTGTTCACGGCTCGGGTTCTCTATTATGGTTCACTGATTGTGGACCACGGTAAACCTGTTATCTGGTTTTGGTCAAACACCTGTTGAGCATCTTGACAAAGATATTTTTCTTCTTTGTTTCTGTCTTTTTTATCTTCTTCTTTTTATTTCCGGTTCGAATAGAACTATTAAGTAAAGGTGGATCGAAACGATAGGACACAACAGAATTGTTGTTCTTTGCGGATTATCTTACAATAAAATCTGAGATAATTGTTATTTCGGTACAATTTTACCCATGTAAATTAAACCCAAGCCAAGTTATCTAATGCATATGCATGCAAATGCATATTAAACGCCGACGCCACTATTTGTTAACTGATATTGTTTTGTTGTCGTTGTTGTCGTCGTCGTTTTTTCTCATTCAGCGGTAAAACTTTTTTGGCTTCATTAAAAGAAGTCGCTGTTAACTTAGTGTGTTAACTTAAGTCTGATTGATTTCGTGAAAGTAGACCGGCTTTGTCTAACTGAATGCCTGAATTTATGATGCTTTGACTTTAACTTTAATCAAGTTCCAGATTACAATATCAGTAAAATACTAAATACTAATAATCTAGGGTAAGCTTAAAACAGAATATAAGATTCCTTAGAAAATAAGCCATCCGATGTCTTTTGACAAAAAAAACCTCTGAATTTAAGCAAGACGTTTTGGTTCCACTAGTTTAGATCAGAACGTAACGGTTTTCCTCTAAGTTACGAGAAATTAAGTTGAGTCAAATCTGAACGATTCACTCGAGTGTACCCTCCCGGAACGCAACGCCAACAAAGGGTTTAGCCATTATTAATTCATTAGATTTTAACAATTCCTGTTTGTAGTTCAGTCTTAACTTTTATGCGCGTGTTGCAGTATAAATAAGGGTAAGCACAGGTGAATTTCCTTTTTTTGTGTATGGCATAGTAACAACATAAGGTGCCTCAATTATAAAAGTCAAAGTACCAAGCGATGCATGGTTTAATAAGTATTACTGGAATTTGAGTTAAAATCATGCTTAAATTCCCTCTGAAGTAATAAATTATTAAATTCCTTGTTCTTTTAATTTGTTGTGGACTTTGAAGTCCAGTCTAGTTGTGTTAAGGCTCTTTCTTCCGAATCGACTTGCCTTTTGCAGAGGCGGATTCAGATCTTCTAGTATGTGAGGGGCCCGCTCATCCATTCTTTAAAATACGATGGAGGCCCAGTCTAGAAAATAGTTTTTTCGACCTTAAGGGACTCAGTTTAGCCGTGGGGTCTAGAGGCCCCTCCGGGCTTCTCCCCCAGATCCACCCCACTTCTGTCAATCAGTTCTGGAATTAATAGCAGGTACGTTGTGGTTAATTGTTGGTTTGGTTTTATTTTTTTCCCTTCGTGGGAACAAAAGGACACTGAAAACCATCTCGATAAGCAAACGACAGCATTAACATAAAATCTGCGCAGAAACTCATAAGGGGTTGAACAACCCCTTATGGGTTTCTGCTCTGCGCTAGTAACATATTTTTTCTTTGCTCAGTGTCCGTGTGAAGCACATCTCGATATTTTCATTTTGCAGGACTTAAAGAATTCCATGAAGAATGCTTGTCTGCTCACAATGAGTACAGAATCCGACATGGTGCGGCTCCTCTACACTGGTCAGCGGAGTTGGCTTGGGAAGCGCAGCAATGGGCTGAAAATTTAGCGCAAACGGGCGAACTCCGACACAATGAAGACGACACGGTTGGCGAGAATTTAGCGGGAATGGTAGGCGGTGAGTTGTCCGGGCGGGAAGCCGTTGATATGTGGTATGAAGAAATAGAAAGTTACGACTTTGAGAGTCCTGGATACAGTGAAGACACTTCAAATTTCACACAGGTGGGGATTATTCATGATGTATTCATGAGTTTGATTTATCTTCGATACCCAATATTCAGCAACACTTACGTGTCGGGGGTAGCGTAGGAGCTGTTCGTAAGGTCTCTCCTAATTGGTCGCATGAAACAATGAAATGTCATTCTTCCAATTGTTTTAGTGTTGTTTGGGGTCAGGGAAACGCACCATTGGTGCCCCATGTCAGACCTGATCGACCGTCTGCGGATGAACTATGCAATGTCGCCAGTGCCTTGCGCATGCGAACAGTTATCCAGTCGCAGCCATGACTATATGCAGTTTGGCACACCCCTGGGGAAATTGAATGCACTTTTTACGAATTCAGTGGGCTATTGAAAGAAAACTAGTACTCAATGCTGGCTTTACCAAACGTTTGTGTAGTTTGTTCTTATAACCGAAGAACGCATTACCCCAATCCAACTCGAACTTTAAAGCGAAATTGACTGGAAATTTTAAGTCATTTTCTCTTTGCTAGGTTGTTTGGGTCGCTTCAGAGAACCTCGGAGTTGGAAGGGCCATTGATGGAGAGCTCTGTGTTGTGGTAGCCTTTTATGAACCTCCAGGAAACATGGAAAGATATTTCGGTGATAATGTCCTTCGCTTGGGATCAAACGTGAGAGAGAGAAAGAGTAAAGAACCAAAAGGCTTTATTCCACCTCCCCCTGGTAAGTAAAGCCGGAATCAGTTTAAATCAGGAGAGAATGCGCAGCGTGTTTCTAAACGGCGCTTAATTACCGTTGTAAAAGTTAATGACTTGTTCAGTCCTCTTAACAATAGACAACAAAAGGTAGAAAAAGAGTTCTTCCCTGTTTGTGTTGAGGTTTTTTGTAAGGAAACAAGGTTGAAATAAAGCAAGTCGCGCAGTGGAGTTATTTGTTTTTCTCCCTCGGTTGAAGTTCGTCTTCCATTTTCGTCGATGTCACGCCTCAAAATATGACTAACTTGTTTCCTCCTTTTTTGCTAAATAGATCTAGAAGGGTTCCGTTTAGAATGCCTTGTGACACACAACTATTTCAGGGCTCGTCACGGCTCTCCACCGCTTGTCCTCAACAGTACCCTAACAGATGAGGCCCAATACTGGGCCGAGCGCCTTCTCGTGACGGGTGCCTCGGAGGGCGTGGATAACTCTCGGATTGGTATAAGTGTGGCAGTCCTCGAAAATAAGCATATTAGTGGAATTAAGGTAAAACTGAAGTCTTATATGTGAGTAGCGTATCTCACGTTCTTTATGATAATTTGCAATTGTACGCCTAGTCATAAGCCTGAAATAAGAACATCTTATACTAACATCTTTTTTATTCCTGGCCCTTCTCAGCCATTCTTAGCCTCAGTACAAAACGATAGAAACAATTTGTTGCTGATGCGTTCATGTAAAATTTAAAAATAAAAAGGACTTATTGAAAGTGATATTTCTTAAATTCAATCCACAATTTTAAGCATTTAGTTTGATAGTATCAAAATAAGTTCTTTTCATTCATCACCAGGTGTCCGAGCTGTGGTACAAGCAAATCTTGAGTTACGACTTCAACAGCCCAGGCTTCAGTACAGAAACTCTTGACTTCAGCCAGCTGGTCTGGCTTAGCACTCGCAAGCTGGGTGTGGGTAAAGCTACTGGAGCAGAGGGCGTGACTGTAGTGGTAGCGAGGTATGAACCCGTTGGCAACATAGATGGTCTGTTCGTGCAGAATGTCAAACGAAGAGGGCACGAGAGAGGCAGCACTGAGCCTATGGTATTCCACGTAGATTACAAATATCGCATACGAACTGACAGCAAGTCTTCCAACAGCTTTTTGAGCTGGGAACATGAAGGTAAGTTATCTTTTTTGCCTGCTCTTTGTTTTCTGTAGTACTTGAAGCGGATGAAATGCAGAGAAGACCAAGTTCTCTAATTACTAGTCCCAAATGCATATTCTCTTAGAAAAGAGATGTATCGCGATCAGCGAGCTAAGACGACCTTTTTCAGTGGGTGCTGTTTGATATCTGTTTTGCAACTACAATCATGGACAAAAGTCTTGGGACACTTTTGGGTTTCTGGGGCGTTTTCCAATTCACACAGGACCAACCCCTCCCCTCACCCCACAAACAACGTTGGACGCGTGTATCCAGAATTTTTTCCGGGTAGGGAGAACTGCAAGAAAATTTCGAAAAGGATGCACTGCTTTAAGAGGGAAGCGAGAAATGACAGAAAAAAATGAATGTTGCAGTACTGTCCCAAGGACTTTTGTCCAGGATTGTAGCAAGAACTCATCAGAAAAACTCTTTGGGTTTCTGGTCCTTTCATATTTAGTCTATAGAATCCAGTTCCATAAGTCTACTTGTATTCTGCTCTTGTTCAACTATTGAGCCCCTTTATAGTCGATGAGGACATCACTCTGGTACTTCGTTATATTTTGCTCCTATTGGTAGAGCACTCGGGCTGGCCCATCAAATATCACAATCCACACAATAGACAAACGGCTCCAAGAGATCTTACCAGTGCTCAATTCAATAAAACTTTTACAAGCGTAATTTACAAGTGTGGCTTTTGGATTTGGACCCCAAAAACAATTGCTACACTTGTAATTTACATTTTTGAAAGTTTAATCTGAACTGGCCCCGAGTATATACCTTTGTGTGAAATACAACAAACAACCTACGAATCTCTGCCTCCCTTATTTTCCTCAGACGCACCGACGTGGGAAAGAGGCGGTGACTTCACAAAATCCAGGTAAGAAACACGTGGCGTGAGTAATTAACACATCACTCAGAGTACTCACTTAAAGGCATTACGCAATTCCTCTAGTTTATATCACATTTACGATTGATTTCAGTTTTTATCAATACTATCACCAGAAAATGTCAGTTCTTTATTAAGGGTGTATACAACTGCTGTGAAAAATTCAATGTTTAGACACGTAGTAAATGTGTGCTGGTATCTAGAATACTGTTTAATGCTAGTGTTTTGTTTCTTTTGTATGACTTCTCTTGTTTGTCATTTTTGCAGTCCAGCAATTTCTCCGTAAACCTTATTTCGAAGTGTATCTTTATTCCGGCACCAAAAATCCCATGACTTTTTAAACTGATAAAAGAATTGTTCTGATGATTTTTTGTGAATCTCTGGACCTTTCCAGCGTTCCCTTATAGCCTGAACCATTAAGTCTCTTTGAACATATGCTGGGCAAGACAATGAATTGTTGTGTGTATATGTTCCCCTTTACAATTTGCGTACCGCAAAAAAAAAATTTAGAGAATCATAAACTACAAAAAATTGCCGCCAAATTCCCAGCACCGATTTGATGAGCAGCTGTAATCTTTCAGAAATTAAACAAAAAGTAGCATTTCAATCTTAAGAGCTCCAAAATGGTTAACATATTGATTTGTATCGCCACTTTAGTTGCCAAGTACCTCACAGGAATGGACTTAGCCGCGCAAAGTTTCTGTTAAACCGTTTATTAGAAGACTTGGACCGGTGTCGTAACAGCTGTTCCCTTTCCCCTCCCCTCAGTACGGCCGCCAGTTTAAGTTGGAGGTATGATCGACTCGCTATCAAATTTTCGGCGCTTCTGAGTTCGTTGACTTGAGAGCAAAAGTAGATGCAGAATTCAGTTGTCCTCCTACCCCTCCCTTGACCCAACGTTAACATCAACTTCTTACTTAGGACAAAATGATGGGTTAGGGGAGGCGTAGGCAGACACCCCCTTAGAATCGTCACCGACGACTGATTCGTGTACATTGGTTGTATTCTTTAATCTGGCATCACTCTTAAAAAGAGTGAAGTTTTGAGTCAGGGAGCGGGGCATGTTGGGAGGTGTTGAAGAGTCTAATCTGCTTCGTACTCAAACAGGCATCGCGCAAAGCCTGCGTGTAGCCTTCCCATACTCCGTTAGGTGCCCGGGTTCAAGGCGGGAGAGGAGGAGTAAGACTGTTTTGATTAACATAACTATGCGTAAAACATTCGACTTGATGTTTTCTACTTTTTGTCATTTCTTTCATGTTCAAAAATGGTGCCGACTGTTTCTCGAGGGCAGGTGGTATTATGATCAGTGTCCAGGGCTTTCTAACTTTATTCTTTCATAGACTATGAAGATTAGTACTACCTATCTTTATCATTCCATTCTCTGATAAAATTATCAATTTCCTTCCCGAGAACTGTTCTAACTTTGACTTTGTAGGAAATGCAATAATAATTTCAAGATGAAAAATGGGGACCCCGAGCTCCTTTTTAAGCTGTTGAAAGGAAATGAAATTAAGAGTCGTTGTTTCTTTGGGAATTGTACTTAAAATGTTGGGGCATATAGGTATTTAACTGAATTGCTAGTTTTGCTGTTAAAAGTTCTTATATATGATAGTAACCTATCAAAGTGTAAACGTTTAACCATCAACTTGTATCGGTAGTTCTGACTGCTATGTGAAGAACATTCGTGTTTCGGACTGTACTCAAAATTAGTAACTGCCAAATTTATGGGACCAGTTATTCGCAAGAATAAAAATGCGGTAACAAATTAGAGTTACGGTTTATATATATCGTGAACAGAAATGAATTTCTTAAATACAACCAAACTAATTTTTTCATGTTGAACCATTCTGTCGCCGATATTTTCCTTATGGGTTTTAGTCTATTTTAGACAAACACTCTTGCTCTCTTGTAAACGTACTCTGACAAAGCGTACTTTAAATTTTATGAATTTTTATAAAACAGCTACGCCGCATTTGGAATTCTAACTCTTTTCCATTCTTTCCTTTCTGAAAATCACTGATTTAACTTCTTAAATCACTCTAATCCTCTTTTCAAAAACCTCGATGTAATCTTGGGATCATCATACGTTTCTGGGAAACTGCCCACCTACCCCTCCCCTAAGCCAACATTTTGCCCTAAGTGAGAAGTAAGTGTTAATGTTGGCTGAGGGGAGGGGTAGGTGGGCAGTTTCCCAGAAACGTATTGGCAAATTGGTGGCGAATGAGGCGATGGGAAGGGATCGGTTTGGTTCAGATTGTAACACGCACTGAAGAAAACTCACGTTTCTTAACTTTTTCAAGTTTTTCAAGCTTTTCACATGAGATACCGTCTCTTTGCTTTTTGTGGGAACTCAAATAACAGCTGACATTTTTCGTTTTAATTTTGACTTAGATCGAAAGGGTATGTTACTGATGGTTCATAACCAGTTTACCTGACGTTTTCTGTCATTGATAATAATTCAATGTTTTTCACCACAGGACAGCTTTCGTTACGTTTTCACACGGCCGTTCGGTCACTGGTTCTGTAACGGCTTTGTCATGACTGTCTAATATTAGCGCTAAATTCCACTTTATGTGACGTAGGCGTGTAAATACTTTTTGCACTTACGTTTTTCCTCAGTCACTTTGAACTTACTCTCGTTCAAGTGGATCCATTCGTTTCCCAACTCATCGCCCATAAAAAAAAAATTAACCTCTAACGATAATTATTGCTCATATTGCCCAGAATTAAATACTTTTGAACCATGTTTGACAAACTTGCATGATTTAACTTTTGTACGTCACTCATCATTTCCTAAACGTAATTTATGCTGTTGCACGTTGTAGGACCACCTACCGGTTGACTTTTTAAACGCTAAAAAACATTTCTTGACAATACATTTAGCTAACAACCGGTTTTAAACTTAAAAACCTTAAAGAAAAATTTTCAATCATATTCTGGTACGCACATATTGATAAATGTACCAGTTTTTTGCTTCTTAGTTATTAGCAGGTCAACGAGTCACTTTTCATAGTTTTAAAGATTTATGAGCTTCGAGAAAACTCTCCTGGCATGGGGATGTCCTTTTTTCTAAAAGATCTTCCTAGCCGCGGATTCGTATTTCCAAATTATTAAATAGATGAACGTCCATTTTGGTTTTCCACTACTTTATCATCAATTTTACTTTCCCTTAAAAACATGTCTCTGCATTTAATCCGTTTTGGGAAATAATTTCTCTTCTTCTTCGTTGATAAGGCCGTAGCAGTCGTCTCGGAAAGAGATATATTTCTTCCATTAAGTTAAATTTAAAAAAGTGCTTCGTAGGCTGTGGTCGAGTCTTTTTGCATAAATCTGATCGAGCTGCACGGATTAATGGAGAGTGTTTTTCTTGACTCTGAAAGGTGTTAAACGAACTAAAAAGCGTCAAACAACCAGTAACTTATTTTCACTTTCTTACGCAGTGACTTCGACCACTTAGATGTAAACAAGAATATGGTACAAACGGCTGACAAACAGGAGCCTACCAATACCCTGGCTGTAACAGACGCCTTCACTCGGTTGGTCTGGATAGACCCCCACAGTCCTACTCTTCAAAGGAAAGGAGTTGCAGATGGAGCGATTCGTGGTGTTGATGATGATGAGGAGGAGGAGGAGGAAGAAGAAGATGACGACAAAATAAAAGCGGATGAAGACGTCGAAGATGAAAATGAAATGGTAGAGGAACAGGATGATGAATACGAAATGGAGGACGAACAAGACCAGGAAGACGCGAGGACAGCGTTTGAAGAAGAAAATAGAGTTCAAACTGAAGGTTGGTGTTATTGTAAGAATTATTCAGGTTACAATAAAAAGACCATTGTGGCGGTAAACGTGGAAGGTAAACTTCACTCCCTGAACTTAGGTTTGTCTTTGTGACTTACTTTGTTGCAATTTTTGACGGGTTTGTGGCTTAGGTTGTTTCCACATGACGCCGATTAATACAACTGGGAATGATATATAATTTTCCCCCAACCGATCCTGCACTGTAACTAAACGGCACCAAACCACAAACTCGTTGAAAAAGTCCTCTTTGTTATTTGTTGGCTTGGACCTATACAATTAGCCATTTAGAATTCAATTTATTATCGTATATGCCAAAGTTAGTAAACACAATAAAATAATCTCGAGGAATTTATTTTTTCTTTCACATACTAATCTTCCTGCTTGGTGATATGTGAATTTTTTAATATGAAAAAACCCTTCTTGCAGTTTCTGTTGCTTTATGTGGCCCTTGATATTTTATTGCACTCTTTGTGAACTCTTCGACATGTTAAGGTGTCCTTCGTTTAACTGCGGCAGGATTAGCTCAGTCACTAGAGCGCTTGACTGCAGAGCGAGAGATCTCAGGTTCGATTGCCGGAGCCGGACCAATACACAGGGTCTTCAAATAACAAAGAAATGAAGGTACCCCCTTTGCACGGCAAGTGCTAGACCTTCGCGTGGCTCGGATGACCACGTAAAATGGCGATCCCGTCTCCTTTTGGAAAAGTAAAAATAGTGTCCCCAGTTAGTACTTTCGTGCTAAATACATTGACAGACAAGTAAAGTCCATTTTTTCGTGTAACTGCTGTCAGTGTTTGAATAACCTGATATTATAATTCCTGCATTCTTTTCAGAGGAACCGTCAGTGTATCAGGAAGAAGCTGAATTGGAGGAGGCTGATCTATTTTCTGATCCAGAAGATGATCTCTACCAACATGTTTGCGAAATACGACGCTCTCTCTCTCTAGACTCAGAGGGAACAGAGCCAGAAGCGCAGAAAGGAAACGTGCTGTCCAAGGTAGCTTTCTTTGAAACTTTCCAGCGAAGTTTTGAAACGCAGTCGCTATCAAATTCAGAGTCGTCATTTAGAAGAAGCCTCATTCAAGACGAGCTGGAGGAGTTGGCATCTCGTCCGAGATTGCAGGCATCTCACGAAGAACATGAACAAGCACAGATGGAGCACGAGGAGGAGCCAGAATGCCAGTTAGAATTTGATGACATCTTTCCCGCTCACCGCGAAGAAGACGAGATTGAAATACATGTGGACGAGCATATGCACGATGAGGCTGGCGAAGGAGATGATGAAAGTCTAGTTAGTGTATCGGATACAGAAGACGTGTTAGATTCTACTGATTATGACATTAGAAACGTAGGCGCACAGGATTATGAACTTGAAAACAAGCTTTACTTGACTCATGAATTTATAGAGGAAGAACCGTCGACTTTAGAGATTTTCGACTTTTCCGACGAGGAAGCCTCACATCAGTATGCTGATCTGACAGAACAACCACTTTCATCAACAAAATCTGTTGTGGCAACAACGAAAACCGGTACTGAATTTCAAAAAAAAGAATCTTGGAAATTAAGAAAAGAAGAAACACCATATTCGAAGGAAGACACTCCAGAGAACTACAGTAAAGAATCGTTTCAGACTAGCGAAGCGTCAGTTCAAGCTCCTGAAACCTTTTGTACAAAACCGTTAGATCCCGACCTTTGCCGTCAGGTAACAAAACAAGATGATGCCGGCGATCGAATGGAAGAAGTCATTTCGAGAATAGGGCTCTTATCAGTCGAGGAAAACATAGAGGACAGTAACGACCGACTCGACTTTAACAACACAATAGAAAGAAAACTTTTAACAGGTATTGTAACCCGTAGAAAAGACTATGAGGTTCCAGATAAACAAACACTAATTGACGAGACTTGCGAAGCTCTCGTCAAAGACAGCGTAGAATCTGAAATAGATTTTGATGAATTGTTTGCAAGGCTGGAAAGAGATGAGACAGAGAACGAGAGGGATCGTGCAGTACCCCAAACGGTTATGGAAATAGAAACAAGCCAGTCACCTGATAACCTTTGTGAAGTGATAACACGAGACCATGTTGGAGAGCGTTCTATGGCTATGGAACGAATTACCAGTGATTTGGAAGTTCAGACTTCGGACCAGTCTTCAGTCAGCGACGAGGAAAAAGAAAAAGAGTTAGAACCAGACATAACCCTTCACTATGAGAATCCAACATTACTGGCTCAAGGTGACATAGAAGTTGTTGCTGAAAATATTGAAGCAGTCGAAAAACACCATAAACCTGAAAGGACAGTGGACGTGGAGGAGCTCCAAGCTAACATTGATAGTCTGTTAAGAAAACACACGAGTGAAAGCGCAATGGAGGAAGAATCTTGTGAAGCTGTTGTTCGTGATCATAATGCGGAACGGGCTCGAGGTTTTGAGGAAATTGGGCTGATTTCTGTCTTACCTGATGATACTTATTCTGTTGATGAACCAGCAGAGCCTCTTCGTTATCACCCGGCACCTAAATCAACGGTCAGGAAGCTACATGAGGTAACAGAGATCATTGATGCTGAAGTTCGACAAGATGTTCGAAGTGAAATAAACTTTGAGCAACTTTTTCTTTCTATTGATGAGAATAAAGACGATCGGTTCTATGAAGAAATGGAAGATCAATGTTTTGACTCAGTGCAGGACAATAGTGATACAGCACTACAAGAAGAGTTATGTGAGGCTGTGTTCCGTGATTATGATCAGGAACATGCAAAAGATTTACATGAAGAAGGGTCAGAAATTCAAATGATTCCTGTTCCTCCTGAGGACAATGAAACGTTTCATAAACCTGTAGAGCCTTTACCTTATGATCAAGCATCCGTAACATCGACAGACGATCAGTCGTCTGAGGTGACTGAGGTTTTAACTGCCGAGGTTCGAAGACATCTACGAAGTGAGATCAATGTTGAGGAGACGTTTTCTCACCTTAAAGAACAAACCGCTGAATACGATGACGAAATTGCCGAAAAAACCTTACCAACTGTGGCAGAGAGTCCATCGCGAGCCTCCTTATACGTCGTGGAGGACACAGTAGTCGATGATGTGGAGCATTGTTCCCCATCAACGTCGGCGCATATTTCACACGAAACCGAAAGCGATGTACCTACTAAAGAAATCGTTGAGGTAAATCAATTAGCTGAGCCTAAACGGCAAGCTTCGCTATACAAGGAAGAAGAGACATTCGTAGTAGATGTAACGGCTGAAGTTCCTTCCTCCCCTAAGCATATTGCTGGGGAGGGTGTTAATCTTGAAAGGATGGAGGTGGTTGGCAAAGAAAAAGAAAGGAAAGAAGAAAAAAGGGCTTCCTTGATCGTAGATGATCGTGAACTCGTGACTAATGTTAGAGAACTGACCGAAGATGAAAAGCGGGCTTCTTTGTTTATGGAAGAAGAAACGACCGTCAGTCGGGTAACGACAGGAGCTGCTGCAGCTATGCATGTAGCTCATGAAAGGGTTATTAAAGAGAGTATGGAAGAAATCATCGAAGGAGAGTCTTACGAGTTGGAGAAAAAGTCCTCAAGGTTAATGGAGGAAGATTCAGTTATCAACGAAGTAATACAAGACACACCCTCCTCTCCAAAACATATCTTAGGGGAAATTCAAACGGTCGATTCCTTCGAAGACGTTTACGAAGGAAGCATTGAGGAAAGACAACGCGCATCACTAGTTGTGGAGGAAGCTGTCGCCTTTGACGATCTGGCAGCCGGCACACCATCTTCCCCAAAGCACATCGCAGGGGAAATCACCAACAGGGAAACCTTTGAAGAAACCGAAGAAGCACAAGAGTATGAGAACAAAAGAGCTTCTATATTTGTTGAGGAAAATATCAGTCACGGTTATGTTTCCCTTAAGGACTCAAGTAGAAACCACGTTGCAGCAGAAATTTTAAACTCTGAACTCCTGGAGGTAGGAGATGACGAGGACTCACCGGAGTCTGACTATGGCGAACATTTTGAGGAGTTTGAGAGAACTTGCGGTACTGGAACATCTGTGGAGACCCCGAAAGCTATATACGTCGCTGGAGAGGTACAAAACAGATACACCCATGGTGGGGCTGCTGAAGATATTCTACAACTTGACGACATTGTGAAATATGAAGATTTCCAACACACAGTGACCACGTCCATCCTCGCACAAAAGCCACAGCCACCGGTTCACATAGCTGAAGAGCTTACAAATATAATGCCAGAAGAGGAGTTATCGGAAGAAGGGAAAACGGAGGAAGAAGTGTCTGCGGAAGAGATTGAGAGGACGCAGTTTCAAACCACAACTATTCTTTTAAAGTCACCGCAATCGTTATTAAGCATTGCTGCTGCAGTGTTAGAGCAAAATATTGAGGCATCTCATCAGGAGGAACCAGAAGAATTCACAATGAAAACAGAGGTAACCCAACAGTACAGCGAAGAGGAACTTAATGAAATTAAAACTGCGGCGTCAGAAGACGTTTCTTCAAATGCTTCTGTGGCGCATGAAATAAAAAGTTCACTGCAGCGAGAGAAAACGGTTATAACGACGGTGACTTCAGAGCACTCGCCAGTTCTTTACGTAGAGAATGAAGGTACGGGTGATATGGTCAGTGACAACACTAAAGTGCCTGTAATTCTCATAGATCTTGCTGGCAAAATTTCTGACGAGGAGGACGATGATGTTTATCTCGACGAAGAGCGTCAAGAAACGGATGCAGAAAACACGAAGGGATACGAAACGGAAACAAACACTGCACATCCTACGGAGGAGCAGTGCGTTGAGTCACATGCGGCTGCTGAGTTTTGCGTATCTGAGGTTGTTTTGGAGGATAGCTTAATAATAAAGAAAGAAGAATTTGTGAAGCCCTTTGAAGAAAGCGAGGAAGGCTCTGTTTCAGAACTGTTGTCAGAGAGTTCGTCTTCGCCACTTCATGTATCCAGTGAACTAAAAGATTTTCAAGATTTCGAAACAATCAACGAAGAATATGGCAGCGAAAGATACCACGCTATGAGTTATGAGGAAGGTGATTATGTTTCGGAGATCACAATAACTAAAGGTTTACCGCCACTTTTCATAACCGAAGAACTTTCACAAGATGCGTATAAGGAAAATATTTTAAAGGAAGAATCAACAGTCATAGAAACAGCTCGAGAGTACGGTGAAGTCGAGGACGCTTTACCGACACAAACCAGCGTTGGCACCTCTCAGTCGCCGCTGCAAACAACTACAGACGTATTAGACTCAAAATGTACTGAAGTTGTCAAAAAAGAAGAAGACGAACCTGACGGAGGAGAGTTTGCCGACAAATTTATAGACACGGGAGGAATTAATGAGAAAATGACAAACAGTCAATCTGATTTAAGTACTCTACGTGAACGTGTTGATGCGACTGGTACAGAAACTGCAGAGGATGAAACTGATAATGCTCAGAAACTCGGTGGACAAGAAGTCGTCTCACTACCTGCCGAACAGGAACAAGTTGTTCATAGGGAGGAAATATTACAAGAGGTCTGGGAGGTAGAGGTTACGAAAGGTAGCCAACACGTCGAAACATTTCGGGAGAAACACAAGAAGGGGCAAATGCAAAGGTCAGTAGAGAAATCTAGTTACTTGGAGTTAGAAAGTAAAGAGAGCCACAGTGTCAGCCAAACTCAACGCGGTGAAATTGTGCTCGTCGGTGAACAAGGAGAGCAAATGGAAGTTTCGCATAAGATGGAAACGAAGGTCGAAGTTACGTCAACAAGAACTGTACAGTATTCGTCCTCGACCACTTTAGCCTCTGGGGGAGAAGTCACGACGAAAGAAACTAAACATCACTCAAAGACCAACGGAGCGCGTATCTCCCGTGAAGAAGTTAAGAAAATCGAGGAAGTATCTTTTACAGAGAAACAAGGAACAAGACAGCAGAGACTGTGGATAAAGGGAAAGATGGAAAATCCCTTGGAAACCAACGGTGAACTAAGCGAAAGTATTTTAGAAAGGGAGACAAAAGATCAGGAATCAGAAAGATTTGAACGAGAGCTGTCGCAGGAGGAGACAGAAGTCCGCCTTATGAAAAGTGAGGTCTTGGAATACAAGTCAGTAGAACTTAAAGCTCAGTTAGGTAATCCCCGAATAACTGTGGAACAGGAGACTACTTTAGTAAGGGCCTTTGTCGTTCCGACACCTGCTAGTGAAGGACATGAGCAGACGTTAATGCGAGAGGATAGCATTACAGCAATCTTAAAAGATGACGAAGTCTCCCTTGAAAAGGAGTCAGAAGGTGAAAAGTTTGAGGAGGAAATTGATATAATGCGAGTGGATGAAGCATTATCAGAACAAGAATTTCGAGGAGAGGGAGCAGATAAAGGAGATCGTCTCAAATCACGATCCTCAAAGGGGGTCTCAGTGGATGCAATGGGAAAATTGGAAGAACGCGAGAGTCCAATCCACAGAAGTGATCAAAAAAATGTTCCTTACGAAGGGGAAACTGGGATTTGCGACGAAGATCCTTTATACGAGGAAGAATGTGAAGTAAGAAGAGTAGACGAAGAGTTGGGTAAATCTGACGATGGAGTGGTAGGAATTCACGCTTGTGAAGAAGTTGAAGTTACAGCCTTAAGGAAAGAAAAGGCTCTGACTACAGAAGCTTCGGAGTCACCTGGGGAGATGAAACTCAGAGTACAGTCACCTGTGTTCGAAGAGGAGCTGGAAATATCGGCGCTTCCTGCGGAGGATAGGTCATATCAAGAAGATCAACAACAGAGAGATAAAGATGTCGAGCAGAGGGAGTTGCTTGAAGAAGAGGTAGAAGTATCGGCGATCACAAGTCAGGAAGAGTCACCCGTCTTAGAAGTAGAACTTGAGGTAGAACATGTCGAAAAACAGAAAACTGAGGAAGACGTACGAAGCAAGGAAGTTGCATTATTTGAAGAAGAATTAGAGTTATCTACTGTTCCAAATGAGGAAGAACAAATTAAAACACAGGACAGTGATGAAGAAAAAACGATAGAACGCACAGTGATACTAGAAGAAGATCACCCCATAGGTATAGAAGAACGCGATGGAGAGATAGTTGAAAATGCAGAACATGTGGGTGCCGACAGCATGAGAACAGAAGATCAAACGGACAAGGAAAGTGCTAACCACTCAAAAATACCTGATCTGTCTACACAAAGGGAACCGTTAGACTTGAGCCAAGTTGATTTGTACGAAGAAGACGAGGGTGGCCTTGAAACACGCTACTACGTGGAACTGTCATCAAGTGAAAGCTTGGAACCACATTATGAAGAGATGGAAGACCAAACATGTTACACTAAAAAGTACGTGCGTCAGGGAGATCCCTTGGAAGAAAATCTGGAAGAGTTTATACTAGTGAAGTACGGTGATGAATTTGAATCTTCTGGGGAAGAAGACATCTCTGACCATCGAGAGATTTACGTAATTCCCGAAGAAGAAAACGACGTTGAAAATCGTGATGTAGAATCCGCTAGAGGTAACAAGGTGAACATCAAAGATCCCAAGCCAGAGAGTTTTTTCCGGGAAGGGTCTGAGAACACTGGCTTGGAGGAAATTCGAGAATCCCCAGAATTTGAGATGGACGATTCAGATGAGTTAGACGAAGAAGAACAGCGACAGTTGGAAGAGTACGAGAGGCTGGAGTCATTTGTCATTTTAGAAGAGAAGTTGAGCCAGGTAGAATCTGATGATGACGAAATTGCTGATTTGGAAGAGGAAGTAGGAGACGAAAATGTTTTTCATTCAGATGTGCATTCTAGCAGCGAAGAAACGTTACATGAAGATGAACTAGCTCAGACAATGATAGCGTCTTCAATTCAACAGGCATCTGCTTTCACCGAACCTGAGTATAAACAACAAGAAACATCACATGATGACGGCTTTACCGAAACGCAAGAACAGATTAGTACAGAAAAGGAAGAGCAATCCGTAGAACGTTTTCCCTCAAGAAAAGATCCTAGGACAGGTGAACAATTTAAAGCTGCGGATGACACATCGGTTGAGGTTGCCCACAGTAAATCTCCCACAAACGAGGAAGCAAGGGGCGAAAGTTTATCTGAAGACCAACAAGACCAAAAAGGACATTCCGAATTGAGTAGGGCAAAAGAGGAGAAAACGGAACAACAACTAAGTAGTGACTCGTCTGGTGAGCAAAGTGTATCGAGTGAAGGATCCTTATCCGCTACACCTTCAGTTGACCTGGAAGGTGAGCTTGCTTAAATAAGTTTCTTGTTAACTTACGATAGTCGTATTGTCTAAACGTTTTGCCCTCTATTCTCCATTTCTTCAGGTTTAGACAACTTCGAACAAGACTGCCTCTTACAACACAACATGTACCGTCGACAACACCGAGTGAAACCGCTCAAGTGGTCAGAAGAACTGGCCGAGGGGGCCAAAAGGTGGTCAGAGCATTTGGCTTCCCTTAATGCCTTGGAGAGCTTCGAGGGGAAAGACGTAGGAGAAAATCTGATGAGCGCTGAGGGCAAGGAGCTCAGTGCTTTAGAAGCTGTAGATATGTGGTATAAAGAAGTAGAAGACTATAATTTTGAAGACCCTGCTTTTAATGCCAAATGTGGACGCTTTACGCAGGTCGTTTGGGCGTCTTCTCGAGAGTTTGGCGCGGCAAGGTGTCTTGCCAGTGATGGAACGCAGTATATTGTTGCGCGTTATAAACCTGCAGGAAATATCCTGGGGGAGTTTAAGGAAAACGTTAAACTACCAAGAGATCCCTCAAGTCGATTGAAAAGACGAAGATCGAGTGCCAGGAGACGGTCAAGGTCGGGAATGCCTTCCACACCAGCAGAAAAAGGTACGTTTAACGTGGAGTAAGGCAAGGTCAAAACATTGACGATTGATAACGTCAAGTCGATATTGCGCAAGCCGATACCGTCAAATCCCGACAGGAATTCCAGGGGTTTATACGTTTTCAAGGTCTGTAGGGGCTTAAAAAATATAAGGGAAATTAGCCTTCCAAAGTCGACTAGGCTTATAATTAGGGGGAAGTTTGTGACAGGAAATTGCCCATTCCGTTACTATTTGCAATATTTTTCCTTTTCAGGCGTGTTGAATACTTTGTACTCCTTTAAAATGAACGGCTGAAAGAGTACCGTAAAATTCCGAAACTGACCTCTCCGAATACAAGCCCCAAATTTGAAAAGCACCAAAAATTCCTGTAATGAAGCTTTGCTTAGTTTAGCCCTCTGGGATTTGATAATTAATCCCGATACATTTCGGAACTGATACTCTTTCCCAGGTCTTAACGATGTGTTATGTGAAGTACCACTTCATCGCTTTTACTGTATTATAAGACTATTACGAATTAAGTACTTGTTTCGAGAACGGATTATATTTAGTGCGAAACTTATTTTGCTTGCTTGTGCATCTCTAATCATTCGATGAATTTTCAATTGATCTTTTAATCTCTTTGATACACAGAAAAGTTCAAAACAGAGTGCGTCATTTCGCACAATTACTACCGTACATTTCACAACGCACCGGCTCTTCACTGGTCCCCTCTCCTGGCTGCAGAGGCACAGAATTATGCCGAACGCCTGGCTAAAACGGATTCCTTGACCCACAGCGGACAAAAAGACCGTGGGGAGAACCTGGCTTACACGTGGGATAGTCCTCTCTCCGCACGGGCGGCAATTGACATGTGGTACGATGAAGTGCAAGACTATGACTTTGACAGCCCTGGCTTCAGTTCTGACACAGGGAATTTTACACAGTTAGTCTGGGTGGGAACGGAGGAGTTCGGGATGGGAATGGCTGTAGCCCCTGACGGAAGAAATATAGTGGTCGGAAAGTACTTCCCGCCCGGCAACATTGTTGGACAGTTCAAAGAAAATGTTAGATCAAGAGAAATAGAGGGCATTCCATGAGCTGGGCAATTTTTAAACTGCACAGGAGAACGACAAAATAACAGCGTGGCGATCAATCTGGTGCAAAAGTAAATTTGAGAGGATACATTATGTCGCACTGTTTTCCGGCAAATAATTTTTATTTTTAAAAGAATTTGTGAGGTAGTTTGTGCGAATGGGAGTACAGAATGTAACTTAATTCTCAAAAACTGTCTAATTTACTTTGTTAATCCTTTGAAATGAAAACCCTTTAATTTAAAGGCGTCACAATTTGTGTTGATCGCAAGGATTTTTCACACGAAATAAGATTCTCAGGGAAAGATTATTGTGCGCTGAAACATGGCAAATTACTTCTCATGCGTTCACAAGAATTCTCGAGACGGGATAGAAAAAAAACAAACAGTAGAGTTTTGAATGAGCTTGTTTTATAGAGCTATGTTTTGTTTTAAATCGCTATTTTTATACGTTTTATTTCCGCGGATTTGTTGCTGAAGATTTGTTAGCTTTCTGCAGAAAAAAGGTTTAGCAGGGGAGACTCGAGGAATGGATGCGTAGAAGCATTAATAGTTACGACAATAATTGGTCAGACTAATGCAAGGGTATTAATTAAACATAAAAACTATTCAAGTAAGAAGATTGGGACAATTGCTGCTCGGCTTTAACTCACCGAAAACGAATGTTCAAGTAAAAACAAGACGTTCTGAAAAAGTAGAACGAAGTTTAAATTCCGCAGGCCATATTTGCTTTCCATTTTATACTTTTTGAATTATTTGCTTTGTCAAAAGAGATTGATTAATAGGTATTTAATAATAGATAGGTTGTTTAAATTGACTGTTCAAAATTAAGTATTTATCAGTGTGAAATTAAATAAATTATTAAGCTAAACGAGAAGGTTTTGGCATCACATTTGGCGGGATAGTTCGTGTCTTTAAAGGTTAACTGTTAATATTTTAGCGGTGGTGGCGTTAGAAAGACAAGTACAATTGAGGAAGGAAATTGAACTGAATTGGTGAGGTATAGAAGGGGCAAGTAAGAAAAAAAAGAATCTATCAGTAATTACTGGATACAATATTCGTAAGTTGGACGAAAATGCTACGAGCAATACTTACACTAGCCACGAAGAGTGACCCTAAGTCACCGTCCTTACGCTGATACTGCCTTTCCATAAAAGGTCGAAAAGTGGATACGACAAAAAAAAACGAAAGCACTAAAAAAGTCATAGGTACGTTTTAAAGACAGTTTACTGAAAACGAAAAGTTCATAGAGCGGTAAGGGTGGCTACATTACAACAAGTATAAAATTAAAACTTTGTAACAAGGGATGTTAAAAACCACCCGACCATCTCATAGTTTCTGGAAACTATCACGCGAGAACACACTGATAATTTTGCTCTTGTTCAAGTTCGTCTGTAGCTTCTGAGTCTTTAAACTGTTGTGGGCGAATGTCGAGCCACAAGCGAAGTATGTCGCTGTCCTCACCAAACTCGTCGGCATAAATCTCATTCAAGCTTTGATTGATCTGCTTCAATCTTTCTTCCAAATGTACATCAGGCGTTAATATCGACTCGTTGAAGTCAAGGACTTCATTCTCCTCCGTTTTAAGCTCTTTGTTCTTTCTTTCCACGGGAGTGTCTGGCTGTATAGTTGCCTCCGTCTCGGCTCCAACGCAGCCCAACATTTCCTTCATCTTTTTTATCATAAACAGCCCAAGATTGAATTTCCTCTTGGAAAGATCTTTAACAATTTGATAGTTATCATCAAGAATGGCAATGAAAAAATTGACGCAAATAAAGTTAAGGCCTAGCTTGAAGGCTAACATATAAACACGCCCAAGGATACAGCAGTCTTGAAAATAGTTGGTCCCTCCACCGATAACGCCCTCTACAAGTAGAGTTTGTAAAACTGTTAAAGGAGACGAATAAGCTTCAATATCTTTTCCAAATGAAAGATATCCTGTGTGAATAAATGTCAACATGAACACTAGAAGTCCCAACGAGCAGTGTAGAAGTTCAAAAGCAGATCTTTTCATGACACTAAACAAGTGATTCACGTGACTATTAAACTTCAGCAAATACAGCAGCTTTAGTGTGTTGAAAAACATCAGCAACGAGACTAAAATCGACTCTAAAGTGTCTAACAGAACGCTTTTATCAAAGCTGATGAACTGGAAAACGTTCTCCTGGAGCTTGGCTGTGTTCTCGAAGAGTTCTGTTTCTTTCAAGACGTGAGTTACAACAAAAGCGATGACTGTAACTGTTTGCGTTAACTCCACTAAGTTAAGGAATTGTTTGAAGTATTGGCGAACACCTAGTATCATCTGCCTTACTTCAGTGACGATAAAGTAAATGATGAAAAACACTAGTAACACTTGACAGAGGATAGTAACAGTGCTGTACCCCCCACCAAGGTCATAAACATGCATAGTGCGAATGACTTGATTGGAAACCACGTACCCACTCGGTGAGAACTCAATAGCGATCGTTAACGTACTAAAGAGGCTAACCCCTGGGTTAAACACTGTGAACTCCACAAACAACACACTTGTAAATCTGTTAATCCAGTTTAACTCGCTAAGTTCAGAGATGACTTTCGATGCAGTGTTATTGTCGTAACCGAGTTCTGCCAGGTAGCCTCCACGACCATAAATGCAGAAAGGATAAAGGTGCCCCCAAAAATGAAGACTACAGGTTTGCTTTGCTGAGGCATACCGCCATGCAGTAGGGCAGAGCTGATCGAGATCGCGTAATAACACCTTTTCAGTTGATGATAAAAGTCGCCATCTTGGTAAGTAGTTTTGGGTTTCGTCCTCGTTTTTGGACGAATAGGAGCTCACGCACGAGTTGAACAAATTCCGTGTTTGAAAAGGAACTTCGCACGAATCTGAAAAGAAAAAGAGAGGACGTGATTTTGATTCCCAACTACAAGCTTTCAAGAATACCAAAGAAAACTGACAAAAACTACTCTCCCCAGAGAAAGGGATTTTACAATTGTCTGCTGTCACAAGGTGGTTTCGACGGATAAATAGATTTAGCGATACGAAAGCATATTTTGACGAGGTATGAGACTGGTGATATCTACCCTAATCTGAAAATGGTTTCACTACAAATTCAAGTTTAAATTTCAACTGAATAGTTGATGATTCCAGACGTAGTTAATCGATAAACCGATAATCGATAATAATATAATAATCGATAGTGATCGGTATCAATAATCGATGAATATCGATTTCCGATATCAATCGATAGAAATCAATAAAGAAAAAGTTGTGACTTCGATCAATATCGATTTCCGATATCAATCGATAATGATTGATTTATCGATTATTACTGATTACTATCGATTATTATGAAGAAAGACTTAAGTCATTCGGTAGAGGTTCAACATTAACACGACGTTGTCCGTACGGTGTTATCGAGTCATTCAGTTGTGATATTATGCACTAACAGGAACAAATTGCTCTTTGTTTTGATTTTTTAGCTTAAGCGCAGTTTATAATGAGGAAACAAATTGCTGCGAAAGTGGCAGGAAACAACTCTATTTCGCTGTAGCAACTCCATAAGCATGGAGCATGCCATTCAATTGGATTCCAGTGTCCGCGAGATGGCAAGGAATGCAAAACAAAGAAATGCAAGATGCAGTCGATGGCGCATGATTGAATGGACACGTAAATGCCTATTAAAACAAACTAGCAAACGAAAGAAACAAAAAATGGAACGTGACGAAGACTGCGCCTGGGGTAGTTTCTGAAGTCAAAAATAAAATGCGTTACGCTTAAGCCGGTTTCATTGGTGTTGCTTGCCAAATAGCATCGTCATCTTCAGAATATTCACTTCAAGATTATTGGTTGTTATCGATTACTATCGACTACTACCTGTTGATATCGATTTTTGTTAATCAATTATAATCGCTAAATTATCTTTTCTGTTACTTCGATTTCTATCGATTTGCGATATCGATCAGCGGATTAAATCGATCGATATCGATTTCTATCGACTAACTACGTCTGGTATGATTGTCTTGCGTCCAACCACCGGGATACTATCGATTGCAACTTAACTCTCATCGTTAAGATTCAATAACAAATTAAGACGAAAACCTTTTTTCACTCTGAGCTGCCTAAGACGAGGCATCCCGACAAGAATTGCTTCTCCATCACCAACATAAGGGCCAGAGGCGTTTTGTTGTTGTTTTCCATCCTGAAACAGACCAGGTACCAGGACTTCTTGTACCCAGTGCCACGTGCTCACGTGAGATGAAATCTAAAACAGTGGCGCACAGTAAGCATATGGGTTAGAAACGTCACAACAATGACGAATTCTCTTCATTCATTGAAGTGGACATAATGCCATAGTACACCATTATTTAACTGTAATACAAATGATGATAACTTCCGCACAGGTTGTTGAGTGTAGGTTTGTTCAGAACTACACTCACAGAAAATGTAAATTGTTAATAACTCAGAAATTTCCTTCAGTCTTACCTTGTTTAGGTTTCCAAACACTTCACTAACAGAGGCTGTCATCCAGAAGCCATGTTCACTTCGTCCGCCATAACACACCACGACAAGGATAGTCAAATAGAGGATGTAAGACACTATTTTTCTCAAAGCCTTGTACATGTGAAGCTCCCTTAATCGGTTTTTCAGAGAACGTTGTAGCTTTTTCTTGTTTGGTGGCTTCGGTATTTCAAGATCCTCCTCCCCTTGACCTTCTTCAGTTAAAAGAATATCATCAACATCAAGGACAGGATCATCATAGCAGGGCGTCTGATAAGAGCTCTGAACAAGGATTTCAAAAATGTGTGACAGCAAAAATGCGACGACAATGATTCTAAGTGGTTCGGATACAAAGATTTCTATGAAAAGTGAAATCACAATTGAAATTAACCACTGTTCGCTCGTATCCTTGCCCCACTGCATACTGTAGAAGACGAGTAAGGTGGCAGGACCAACGGCTGCTAGAAAGCACATCAGCCATGCGACGTAGACACACCAGTGTGGTAGAGAAAATTTGCGTTTCTGATTGTCAAGGTTTTTGGCAAATCCTTCTTCTTTCGTTGATTTTGCGTGAGTGAAGATCATCACGATCAAGAGATTAAATGGCAACACAATAAAAAGGCTCTGTACTGCAATAATAAACTCACGAAGATCAAGCACGAAACGACCCAAACGAATCGTGCCTTGTGTGTTGCTCATATTCGTATCAAGCTGGTAAAACATAGCACTCACCAGCATCTCACATAACAGAAGAGACAAACAGCACGACAAGCGTTCAACACGTGTAAATCTGTGGCTCGGAGATCTGGTGGCAACAGAAAACCACAAATGCTCATCGCTGAATTCTTCAGCAATCTTATTCTGGACGTAAACCGTAAAGTCAACTCCTTTCTCATTTGTCGACGATGTGAGGGTGCGATCGACAAGTCCATCACCTTTGTCCACAGCGAGCCACAAGTAACATGTGAAAATCATTAGTGTCCGAGCAGTTACATCAAAAACCTAAAAATAAAGAATGACATATTATACAAAGAGAACTTAATCCGAAGGGGAATCTCAATGAATGGACGCTGGTAAGAGCCGGAAAACAACGATAAACACCGCCCTTTGAAAACAGACGCACCCCTTTAGAAAATGCTGCTTTTTGGGTTGTGCATCCGTAGGTAACGACCGTTATTTATGCCAGCTTGCAAAAAGCAACTTTTGGCATTTGTTTTGCCTATTATGACATGTAGTATTACAAAGAGAGTCATTCGGTTTACGAAGCATTTTGTCCACCACGAATTCACCTTTGCTTACGTTAGTTTATAAGCAAGAAAAACTATTCCTAGTTGTAGGGTATATGCAATTAGTAGGAGGGAAATCGAACAGCTCACAAGTTCCTTTGATCTATTTTCTCTTCATTTTCCATGAAAAAAGCGAAGGGAAATTCCCGGCCCCGGCCCCGGAACTCAGTGACAGCCCTGAAGGCCGTATTTAGATTGACGTCACGTTTCAATTAAAGCTTGATTTGGGTTAAAAGAACAAATTATTTGAAGACCTGACCTTTATGTAGTTGAGAAACCATGAAGGACTGGAGCCAGAATTGTCATGCCATACCCGCACCCGCCGTATGGGGCCAATGTCCACAGGGACTGAAAGAGTGAAGGATAAAACACTACCTCGTGCGAATGGTATGCAAGAGTCTAGTTTCAACTGGTATGGACGGCTTGTTCCCTGTTCACCCTCCAACATCACAAACACTTTAGCAGTGGTTCCCGAGTTGCGCCAAAAACCGGTGGATATTTCAACCTCGTAGAAGTGGGCCCAAGGTGAACGAACTCCTAGGAGCGACCTTTTGCCAAGCTACAGGAAGAGCGGAGATAAAAGTATGACTAAAAGAATGTTCCTTTCTTTTCTACTTGCTAAAAATGGTAAGAGAAACGGGGTAAACTTTCTACTAGAAGGCTAGAGTTTTTTATAGAATTAAAACGTTCACAAGCGAGTGCGAGTGTCTTCGCTTTTCTGTTGCTGCAAGAACGAAATTTTCGTTTACCTTGAGGTGGTCAAGCTTATCATACTTCCGAGCCCACGTCAGAAGAACCAAATACACTCCAAAAACACAGCCTATGGCAGCAATCACAGCTACATTCCCAGTCTCGTGAAGACGAGAGAATTCCGTCACTACCTTGTCAAAATCAATGGGATTTGGTGCCACAAACAACTGACCTCCGAAAGCGCTCAAGTGATTACAAGAACAGTGGATAGAGTCTTCGCCTGATGTTTCAGCTACCTGTAGATTGAGTAAAAGCAAATGCGTTAACCTCACCAGAAAACTTGGTGTTTTTGAAAATGAAATATTTTTCAATGAATGATTTGAATTAGAGAATTTGTAGAACAGTTATAAATTGAATTGTGATCATTGAATGGCCGTGTTCGTCTTTAATAAAATGAAATTGTCCCACATTTTGAAAAAAATCCTCAAAATGCTTAAATTCGATGTTCTGTTGACGTTCTTTAAATTTTCTTTCTCTGTGTCAAATATGAACAAAGTTTATCTGCGTTAAATGTCTACCCAAACTGTTGATCCACTTTATAGGATTTTCTTAGTAGAAGAGGTAGTTTTAGGTTTGCTTACGTTACACCCTTCTGTTGTCCACTTGGACAGCTCCGTGCTCCAGTACAGACAAGCAGCCGGTATGACCAGCATAGTATAGTTTTCGTCCCCTGGGAGGTACTGAGGTATGTGAAAAGCAGCACTTGTAGTAGAAGGCTCCTTGTATTGAACGCACGATCGCTTGAACCGCCCTTGGCCGCCTACACATCGTCTGACTCTCGTGGTACCGGACGTTCTAGACTTGAATGTTATTCCAATGAAGTAGTATCCTGTCTGGTTGACATGCGCACTGTCCACCACAACCATGTATGGATCACGAGAGCAATTGACATAACTATCTAATACATGGTCGTAAACGCACGACGAAAAGTCGGGTATTGTCTTGTTGAAATCACTGTTGACTGGGGCCGATCTTAGATTGTATTTCCCATGTACTAAGAACTCGCTAGCGCTACTTTCTGGTTGTATCTTGAGTAAGAGAGCTACTCCTTCTGTAGTTACATTAATCCTGTGGTAGACAGTCTTATTGGATCCAACAAAATGAGGCTGAGAGTTATTAGTAAAATTCTGATCATTAAAGAGGCTGATCAGTATCGGAGTCTTAAGGTCTGTTATATTGAAGGTGTGCCCGGTACTATTCTTCAGCTCAAGGCTTGATACTGTAGTAGTGACTCGCAAAGCAGAGGCGTCCCAAGAGAAAGGCACATAATCCGTTGTTATCACCTGTTTAAAGCATAAAAGGGCAGACGCTTTGTAATGGTAACAGGACTGAGTGGAGTGCAATTCGGTCTGTAATCATACGAGTGATTAACAAAATCGGACGACCGCGTAGCGGGAGTCCGATTTGTTTAATCAGGAGTATGATTACAGACTGAATTGGACGACACGAAGTTCTGTTACCAATTAATCATAACTTTAACAAAATTTGTGATACAATAGGCTATTTTTTAAACCAAAACACAAGAAATTCGAAATTTTGTTCTGCTAGCAGTGAAAAAACAAAGCCATTTAAGCGCGCGCGTGATGGCGCGTACTGTCCAATTACTTAGGCATGACGCGTACTGTCCTATTAAACTGTCCAATTAAGGCTGAAATCAGGGCAGTTGAGAGCCAATCAGATTTGACAATTTTGTAATGGTTATGATTATAAGAATAATACAACTGATCTGAGAAAGGGAGTTCTATCAAAATATCAGTAAGATAAAAAATGGTTGTATGGACCCAATAAAGGTCAATCTTATCCTTATAATCTAATTATCATTGACCGAATTGCGTCTGATGAAGAATTTAAGCTCAAATACGCAAAATCTGGTATCCCATCGATCGCGAGAGAAAAGTGGTTGTCTTTGTTTCTATGTTTCCTGGAGCAAAATGAATTTGTGGAGACGATTACTGAATTAATGTCGATCATCTACTTAAAGACGCCTATGATTTACGCAGTCGAACACATTTTGACACTAGAGCCTGCACCAATCGGACACTGTGCCTGGTAAGTGGAATATCAACTAAATGGACCACATGAATGACTTAAGGATCATTCACACAGCAAAGCGATTAAATGAGTTAGTTGAAACAAGAATAATTGTTTATAGCAAGACAGGCATTACTGACGTTCAAACAGTATTAACGCTTTAAAATGATACGTTTTGACGACAACACTTTTTAAAGGGACGAAGTGTTCACTCTGAAGAATTATCCTTATCCAATCAAAACGTACGTTTTGTGACCGTACTCTTACTTAGCTCACGTTCTTATCCCAGTCGGGGCCTGTAGTATCAGAAACCATTCAATTATTCAATTCAAATAACTACTTTACACCTTCAGGTGTGTTAATCATGGCTAAAAGTAACAAAATGAATGCATTCAAATCATCAATCGCGCCTACACCATATATTGCAGGTATTTCAGCTGTTCTCGATTATCATACCTGACTATCCACAAATTGTGTACTGTTCCGAAACAGTTCAGTAGATGGTGGAAGAGTAAAACTGTTTCCTTTGCTTGCAAGTACAGAATCAGCCAATGCATCTGGCTCCATACGGGCAACGAGCATAGTCACGGACTTGGCTGAAAGTTCTTTTGGCTCCTCTCCGACCAGTGTTCGGGATAAGATCGTACTTCCGACATCATCCAAAGAATCAAGGATACCTTCTGTACGTCTTTTTGACTTAAAAAGGCGTAAAGTCTTATCAAGATACTCTTTTAAGAGGGAAATACCGTTTTCATTGGTGGAGAAGAAACATTACTGGGCGAGTAAACAACATGTTCAATTTCCTGACTGAAAGAGTATGCTGGACGCACACCTAATGGATCATAAGAGTGATTTTAAAAATGGCCATAACTTATCAGTGTATCGTGTGACTGTTTATACAGCAAAATTTACGAGTAAATTCAGTTGACAAACTTTAACTCCTCCTGGAAGGCCTTTAAGATTATGTTTGCCCAGGCTGTCTAGAAGCAGGGACCATCAATTGAATAACTATTGCCTAAATCAAATAAATAACGATATAGAGGTAGCACATCCACTTAGTGGTCCTCCGTCTACCTGATTACTGGTCGAATTGGAATTTGGAAATGTTGGTTTTTAAAGAGACGGGAAAACTGAAGTAATCGGAGAAAAACCTTTCGGAGCAAAGGAGAGAACTAACAGGAAACTCAACCCACTTGTCGCGTTGACGCCGGCACTTGACTCCGTGTCACCACAGGGAGCCCGCACAATCTGTGTGTAGCCGATTGTTATTTAGTCTGCTACACAGCCGTTTTTAGTGTCGTCACGCAACGCTCCGGAGCGTAAGGTGACGACACTAAAAACGGCTTGAATTACCTTACCTGTGGTATATAGTCGTCCTTTTACCTCAAAAGCGGTTTTTTGAGCGATTTTGAAGGAGTTTGAATTCGCCGTTGACTGTTCCTTATAATAGAAGGAATTAATTACAAGGAAAAGTCAACGGCGAAATCAAACTCCTTCAAAATCGCTCAAAAATCCGCTTTTGAGGTAAAACGACGACTATATACCACAGGTAAGGTAATTCAACGTTTATTTATCATTGATTTATATACATAGTTAGCGATATATCGCTATAGGGGAAGCAAACGGTAAATCCAGTACATTTACTATAAAATAACAATCGGCTACACAAACAGATTGTGTGGGCTCCCTGTGGTGTCACATTGGTGGAAGGCAAGTGCTCTTAGCACTGCACCACCCTTGTTCCCCAGCTAACAGCCTGATAATAATTAACCCGATGAAATGCCAGAGATGGATAATTCAAGCGTGGCAGCAAACCAGCCGGGTTTTCCCGTAGTAAGGAGTTGCATTTCGTCTTGAAGAAATGCGATCATAACGGAAAAAGGGGCACCTTCCCTTTTGCTTCACTTATCATGTCCTGCCGCCTTCAGTGGTAACATGCAACCTATGCATTTTCCCACACCCTAAACTCGTAACATTATATTACCTGCAGTTTCTCATCAAAGGTTTCGTTTATCGTGCTCCTCTTTTGCCTTCTCACGAAGATATCTGACGCAAGTGACGTTCCGTTTCTAGTACTCCTCCGCCGTCGATAGTTGGAAGAATCCTGGTGAGGGTATTGTGAATCGTATGCTTTTGCCCCAAAAGAAGTCACTCTGAGCATACTTCCGAGACCAGTCACCAGACTACGTGCGCCTTCCAAAATCGTTTCGTAGTTCTCCCCGGCCAATGATTCCGCCTTTAGTACTGACGTCATTGTTACAAGGGCATCCGTAGCGGTTTTCTCAAAAGACGTGGTAATAAAAAAGTGTCAAGGACTAATTAAGGTTTGGTAGCAACTTTTTATTGACAGAGTTGAATTAATCTATGTTCCGTAAGACGAGGAGTCTGGTTTGACGGAGAGGTTTACGTTGTTATTCTATTATGACAAGAGAGAATGATTATGACCATGTCCTATAATAAAGTTATTTTAATTAATCACTTACTTGTGCCTCAACTGTGACTTCGCTGATAACCGAACTGGCCTCAGCAATCACGTTTGATACCTGTTGGACTCTTAGCACAGTTTCTGCTTTGACAGCCGACATCTGTTGCAAAATACTTGACTTCATCTATTCAAACAGCATGTAGAAAAGATTAGAAATACCAGATTTTTTATAAAACAGACCGTTCAAGCATTCCAACATGTACGTACACCAACTCCGGGCTTGTGATAAAAAAAATTAAGTGAACGTGTGTATGGATCGGGAATTGTCACCCCAAACCTCGGTCCCATTGTGCGGGCTCACTTGAAGTTTAATGCGGAAAGGTCTACTGATATTTGGTTGAAGAATGAAAAAACATATTTATGGCACTCTGGGTTTAAACTAAAGCAACGCTATTTCTTGAAAAGATACCAGCACCAATATAGCTGAAGAAGGAAAACTGAATTCTGTTGAAGTCATTATATGAAAATTACCGCAATCCTTTTTGCCGTTAAGTCTTGCGACACTGTTTGGGTGTTATCATCGACGGCTACAAGGGCCGCTGTGGCCAATTGGAAGGCACGTGACAGGTCACCGGACTGGATTAATTTCGTTAATTCATTGTTTTCTCCGGTTGTCAGATTTGCAGCAATGTCCACGAGATTTTCTTCCCCGTCGGTGGGCTCCACAACCTATCATAAAATTGAAGCCGACAACAGTCACAGTTCGATGGTAAAGTCGACACACTGAAACGGATGGTTATTTTCTGGGTCATCAGATCGTGGTCGTCTTTGCAGATAATAATCTGTATATGAAAATGAGTTTAGCTCAGCACGTCAAAACGCCAGCTGTCATTAACACCAGGCCCCTGGGTTTTTTAAACGTTGGATAGCGCCATCCACCGGATAATTCANACGTTTATTTATCATTGATTTATATACATAGTTAGCGATATATCGCTATAGGGGAAGCAAACGGTAAATCCAGTACATTTACTATAAAATAACAATCGGCTACACAAACAGATTGTGTGGGCTCCCTGTGGTGTCACATTGGTGGAAGGCGAGTGCTCTTAGCACTGCGCCACCCTTGTTCCCCAGCTAACAGCCTGATAATAATTAACCCGATGAAATGCCAGAGATGGGTAATTCAAGCGTGGCAGCAAACCAGCCGGGTTTTACCGTAGTAAGGAGTTGCATTTCGTCTTGAAGAAATGCGATCATAACGGAAAAAGGGGCACCTTCCCTTTTGCTTCACTTTTCATGTCCTGCCGCCTTCAGTGGTAACATGCAACCTACGCATTTTTCCACACCCTAAACTCGTAACATTATATTACCTGCAGTTTCTCATCAAAGGTTTCGTTTATCGTGCTCCTCTTTTGCCTTCTCACGAAGATATCTGACGCAAGTGACGTTCCGTTTCTAGTACTCCTCCGCCGTCGATAGTTGGAAGAATCCTGGTGAGGGTATTGTGAATCGTATGCTTTTGCCCCAAAAGAAGTCACTCTGAGCATACTTCCGAGACCAGTCACCAGACTACGTGCGCCTTCCAAAATCGTTTCGTAGTTCTCCCCGGCCAATGATTCCGCCTTTAGTACTGACGTCATTGTTACAAGGGCATCCGTAGCGGTTTTCTCAAAAGACGTGGTAATAAAAAAGTGTCAAGGACTAATTAAGGTTTGGTAGCAACTTTTTATTGACAGAGTTGAATTAATCTATGTTCCGTAAGACGAGGAGTCTGGTTTGACGGAGAGGTTTACGTTGTTATTCTATTATGACAAGAGAGAATGATTATGACCATGTCCTATAATAAAGTTATTTTAATTAATCACTTACTTGTGCCTCAACTGTGACTTCGCTGATAACCGAACTGGCCTCAGCAATCACGTTTGATACCTGTTGGACTCTTAGCACAGTTTCTGCTTTGACAGCCGACATCTGTTGCAAAATACTTGACTTCATCTATTCAAACAGCATGTAGAAAAGATTAGAAATACCAGATTTTTTATAAAACAGACCGTTCAAGCATTCCAACATGTACGTACACCAACTCCGGGCTTGTGATAAAAAAAATTAAGTGAACGTGTGTATGGATCGGGAATTGTCACCCCAAACCTCGGTCCCATTGTGCGGGCTCACTTGAAGTTTAATGCGGAAAGGTCTACTGATATTTGGTTGAAGAATGAAAAAACATATTTATGGCACTCTGGGTTTAAACTAAAGCAACGCTATTTCTTGAAAAGATACCAGCACCAATATAGCTGAAGAAGGAAAACTGAATTCTGTTGAAGTCATTATATGAAAATTACCGCAATCCTTTTTGCCGTTAAGTCTTGCGACACTGTTTGGGTGTTATCATCGACGGCTACAAGGGCCGCTGTGGCCAATTGGAAGGCACGTGACAGGTCACCGGACTGGATTAATTTCGTTAATTCACTGTTTTCTCCGGTTGTCAGATTTGCAGCAATGTCCACGAGATTTTCTTCCCCGTCGGTGAGCTCCACAACCTATCATAAAATTGAAGCCGACAACAGTCACAGTTCGATGGTAAAGTCGACACACTGAAACGGATGGTTATTTTCTGGGTCATCAGATCGTGGTCGTCTTTGCAGATAATAGTTTGTATATGAAAATGAGTTTAGCTCAGCTCGTCAAAACGCCAGCTGTCATTAACACCAGGCCCCCGGGTTTTTGAAACGTTGGATAGCGCCATCCACCGGATAATTCACTATCCAGTGGACAAGTATCAGGCGAGAGAAACCAGTTGCGTTATCCACTGGATAGAGATTCATCCAGTTGACAGCGTTATCCACCCTCTGAACAATTGGGGCCTGAGCTAGTCGTACGATCACCTGGAAGACTAGTCTAAAAAAGAGGTAATTTATCTGCTAGGCTTGATGGCAAACTTCATTCCCTGCTTCAGGTGAAAGCAACTACGAAAAACATTAGGGAAAAAACGCTAAGACTTCTCTGGGAATAAATAAGAGAAAATATGCACAACAGTAGACGAATAGATGAATCATATTAAGGTATCTTGTTAACCATCATAATCACAGAGGCTGAAATAAATCATACCACCTCACATCAAATCCTTTTTTCTTAAAACTAACAGTTTATAACATAACGACGCTAACTAGACTAGAAATACGTATATCGGAAAACCTCTCTAACTAACAATCAACATAACGACGACGAGTTTTGCAAAAAACAACGGAAGTGTTAATAAACGTTATAAAGAATATGAAGAAGTTACTTTTCAAACTTTACTTCCATTAAATGCAGCTAATACCGGAAAAACTCTCTCTCTTTGCCTTCTATACCTTATTTTAATTGTACGACCTCTCTTAACTTTCCTGCCAATTTCCTAATCCTTAAAAATCGGTAATTAAAGGTTTTATTGCTCATGTACTCACTTGAACAGGTGTCCTAACTTCAGTGAATGCTCCAAACACGTCCGACACCCTCACACGAAAGTCGATAGTAAAGTTTTTCTCTCTCTCCCCAAGTGGAAGCTTTGTGCGTTGGCTGGGCTGTGAGCCCTTGTAAACTACATTCAAAAGATCGCTATTTGCAAAGTAAATAAATTCATACTGCATAGGAGGATCTTCATCCTGCCAGTTAACACAAGAAAAGGAGAATTCTGTGACTAAAGTGATGCCTGATTGCGGAGTAACTTGACAGTATCCTCCAGTAGGAGGGCTGTTGGTGATCACTTGGTACTCAGAATATCCTGGATAACCCCCAGGTCTCTTTGCGGTCAACACAAACTTATATGTTTCATCTGCCTCCAAGACTCTTGGGTAAGTGACCAGCGTTCTTGAATACAGTTGTGTACTTAGGAGCTGTTGTATCTCTGTAAGTTCCACCCACTGGGTCTCGTTTGAGTGGCTGATGTTGGTTGCTTTCAAAAGTAGCCACTGGTAGGTAAGAGATCCTTCACACAAAAACCCGGTGCAAATTCCTTGTAGAGCTATTCTGCCCGATGGATTCAATTTTCCGTTACAATTGTCCACACATCTGTAACATTTAAGATAAACAACTATTTAGTAATTTGACATAAAAACTATCAATTCCGATCAGTTCGTAAGTCTGTTGCAAAACATCGGCTAAAATGAATTGCAAATGTCTCTTAAGTACGTTCTTTTTTGTGTTGTTAAAGTCAGACCTGACTCTGAATCCAAAAGTGAATCAAAGCTATCATAAGGTATTATTATTACTTATCCTTTATCCCAACATTGCTTTCACCTTTACGTACTAAAAATAAGTACTCGCGTCTAGAAGTTCAGCAGTCCCCTTTATGTCTGACAAAATACTTTCGAAGTGAATGTATTTTACTTTGTAAACTAGATACAGTAGAACCTCGATAACTGAACCTGGAATGACTCGGATTACTCGAATTCCCCACTAACTCGAACTAACTTTCGTTTCCCTTAAATTTGACTGAAATTTACCCCGCTAACTCGAACTTTTTTTCATTTCCCTTAAGAGTTCAAGTTACCGGGATTCTACTGTACGTACATTTCTTTACATAGAAATAACTTCTTAAAGATGAACACCTTATTTGTATTTCTGGTGGGTTGCCTGGAGCAATAAACACTTCCTGTGTGTACTCAGCTTGCTTCTGATCCTTTATAACCTTCACATTTACGAAATACGAACTATTTTCGAGCAAAAGGCCACTGTTTAGTGTTAACACAGATCCGTTGGATTCTATTTTGCCACCAGTTCTGTAACATCCTTCTAACCCGGAGATATTCGTGCACGACCAAGTAAAAAGGAGACCTAGAAAACAGACAATAAACTGTTGATTGAAATACATGTTTTACATGCGTTGCCCACTTACTTTAAAACCCAGCCAGAATACCAATGGACAAATTTGCCAAAACAATTACCGGTAAGGGCAAGCTAACTGTGATAAAAAGCTGACAGCTCAGTTCAACGTGGGACCTGACGTTAAAAAGGGACCACGGAGCATATTTTGATTTAGTGGGGCTACGAACGAGCTCAACGAGGGCCGAAGACGCGAACATTTAGTGGGGTCCGGTCCCGGGGGTTCGGTGGCATGCTCCGCCGGAAAATATTGAAATTCAACAGGAAACGTGGTTATTTCTATCAATCCTGGAAAATTTTGCCACCGATGATGCCTATTTGCCGAGTTAGGATCCGAGCTGGATTTTGGATTTACGATTTCGAGTTAGGAATGGTAAGCGAGTTATACAGCGTCTTCTTTTGAAGTACAGAAAGTAGAGGGGTCACGGGAGTGTAACAAGAAAATATCTCTTATTATCGAGAACGATAATCTTTGCCTTCACACACACACTAGGGGAAGTCAGGACTTTGTACCACTACAACCCAGTCAAATTTCCATAACCTCTTGACCTTAGGGACCGACCATTTAATTTTTTTAAATTTTTAAATAAATTTTAAAAAGTGATCTTAAGAGGCCGTTAAAGATAATGACAAGACTACTATATACAGAAATTTTTACAAGGGGTCTGGAAATGAGATTAAGAATTTAAAATTGTTAACAGTAATGAATACAAAAGGCAACAGCTTTTCACTGCTGATGTTTACATTAAAAGCAGCAGCAGCGTTGACATTAAACAGATATTACAGATATTATTGTACCTGATGACTGTTGATCTTCTACATCAGGGTCATATGACATGGAAGCATCAAAGACCAAACTTCGGTTGAATCCTCTAACCACCTTGGTTCCTCCAGTAATAAGCGCAACTAAAGGACTGCTGGTGACTTGAAAGGAACCTTCAGCAATCCCAGACACTTGAATTCCCACCATGCTTACATTAAGACGAATCATATAATCACCTACAGGTAACATACGAGGTGTAATGCGGAACTCTGAAGAACCATTTCTTGACAGCACTGGTGCCATTTCTGGATTAGTGTAAATACTCCAGGTAAATAATGTATTTTGGGACAATTCACAATCCAGTATGACTTCAGACTCGATTAAGAGGGAGTCTATTCGTCGTATACTCACAGCTGATGAGTCCTCTAGCAGTAATTGAGGGAGGCTCACATTTGGGCTGGGACATAGAGGGTTGGAAACTGAAACTTAAAGACATTGTAGAGAATGTCAGCAACAAAAGTGTATCGTCTCTCCCCTTCGCATTATAGAGTGAATGTTACTAAAACGTGAAGGTTAACTTATACTACTAAACGCACTGTGAGGATGCTTCTAAGACAGTTATCACATCAGGAAGTGTTGAAATCATGACAAAAACATCTGAAAGCACCTCTAGCATTACTTACAGGTAAGACATGAACTGCATTTGATTTAAGACTTTCCAGCTCTCAAAGGTCTTTGCAGATCAGTGTCATGTAACCCATCCCATTCAAAACTATGCAATACAACCCTAGCAATACCAGACATTCAAAAAATACATGAAAAAAATATCTTAACAGTGCAATGTTATGATGTCTCAAAATTGGCTCCCTAGCAAATTGTCTTGTGCTTTTCTTCCCAGCCCAGATCAGTACTGTTGTTTTAGTTGCATTTCAGAATTTCTGCTTTGGACAGGTCATGTTACGCAAGCTTAAAGGGTTTATTACTGGATTGTCAAATCTTTTTACTATACCCAACAGCACAGTAGAAATCACGATGAATATTTGCAGCCTGAATAAAATTTAACCCTACAAGTTCTGTTTAGGACTTCACTGCCTACTACTCAAGTTACTCTGCTTACTACCGCAAAAAATGCATGGTGACTCACTGTATAAATGTGTGTTTATCCATAAAAAATTGAATTTTCCCATGCAAAGATAACCTACAAGAGGTCTTCTTATGGCACGTGTAAATAAAATGAAATTTTACAATACCTCAAACTGTAATCCATTTATCAATATAATTATCATTTCAGCATAGATTGCACCTACAATTATTATATATTGCTCACTACAAATTATTGTACATGGTGGATTTGAAATAGAAATGACCTCAAAACTTATCTTGGAACTTGTAATATGAAAATCCTCTCTGTATGTTTGCAGGTTAACTGTTGGCATAATACTTTCTAAGGAATCATGAAAGAACTTTTCCTAAGCACCTTTCTTAGTGAAAAGACAGCTACTGTGAACAAATTTTATTGCCGTAAATATAACAAGCTGTGAAGGGCCAGGGTTTAGTGGCCTTGGGGCCAGGTCTTGATTTTCATCCCCAGTTATTATGAAGTGTACCCCAGGCTAATTTCATAAAATTATAGGAGAAAAATCTAACCAATACAATTCCTTGCTGTTTGATTGTCTATATACGTGTTGTATTTAACTACAACTTGAAATTTTAGTTACAGACCTAAAATATTAAATTTATAAAACACATTTAACTTTCCGTATTAAATTACTTTCCTAACACCCTCAGACACACTGTCAGTCC